TTGTGTGTGCTTTGTCCACAATCTGAGTCCTGGAATAGACAAGCTAGATGCACGCTCAATTAAATGTGTCTTCCTTGGCTACTCACGGACTCATACAAGTGTTATAATCCCATTACCCGGAAGTGCTATGTCTGCCCTGATGTCACCTTTTCTGAGTCTGTCCCCTTCTTCTCAAGTCTTGAAGTACCTTCGTCTCCACCCGTACTTCCTCTTCCTCTTCCTGTCAGTGATCCAGTTCCAGATGTTGTTGTTGGAGTAGACTCATCACCTCATCCAGTGTAGATCACCACTGAACGACCACCAATCTGGCAGGTGTATACACGTCGAACGACACCGGCCCCTCCAGCTTCTACCTCATCTGCGGATCCTCTCATGGCTCCTATTGTTGAACCTTCAGACCTTGACCTACCCATTGCCTTACGGAAAGGTAAACGCAGTTCTACCCTCCATCCCATTTCCAATTTTGTTTCATTATCTCGTCTTCCTACCTCACATCGCCAGTTTGTTTCACTTTTGTTCAAGAAGCTCTTAGTTCACCTAGGTGGCGGCGGGCAATGGAGGAGGAACTTTCTGCTCTTCAACATACTCAAACGTGGGAACTTACTACTCTCCCACCTGGTAAGCATGATGTGGACTGTAAATGGGTGTATACTGTGAAATACTTGCCAGATGGTAGCGTGGAGCGTCTGAAGGCCAGACTTGTTGCTAAAGGTTACTCACAGTTGTATGGAGTGGACTACATGGACACATTCTCTCTGGTGGCTAAGATTGGTTCTGTTCGTGTACTAATTTCCCTGGCAGTTATGTATGATTGGCCTYTGTTTCAGCTTGATATAAAGAATGCCTTCCTCCATGATGATTTTGTGGAGGAGATATATATGGAGCAACCACCTGGGTTTATTGCTCAGGGGGAGGATGGTAAGGTATGCATATTGAAGAAGGCAATTTATGGGTTGAAACAATCGCCGCATGCTTGGTTCGGGAAGTTCAGTGAAGTGGTGAAGAGTTTTGAAATGAAGCAATGTCAGGTTGATCACAGTGTTCAGCTATGACTCAGAAGTTGGGAAGATCCTATTAGTGGTCTTTGTGGATGATATTGTCATTACTGGCAGTGATAAATTRGGGATTGGCAAACTAAAGGTATTTCTGCAAAATCATTTCCAAACAAAAGATCTTGGAACATTAAAGTATTTCTTGGGAATAGAAGTTGCCAGGTCAAAAC